CGAAACTTCTGAGTTAAATTTCTCGTTGGGCCCTTGGTATAAATTACTCATTATCACAGGACAGAGGGAAGGAAGCTGCAGTTAAAGATTATTTTGATGCTGCCATGATCACATGTAGTCACCATTCCAAACCAAAAACCAACCCCACTGCCATCAAGTCGATTCTGACTCATAGCCACCCTGTAGGACAGAGAGAACTGCTCCACAGGGTTTCCAAGGAGCAGCTGGTGAATTTGAACTGCCGACCTTGTGGTTAGGAGCTGAACTCTTAACCACTACACCACCAGGATTCCGTATCCACCATGTTATTGTTGTTAGGTGCTGTCGAGTCGATTCCAACTCATAGCAACCCAGAAGGATGGTTAAACCCAGTATTCAAGTTAGAAACTAAGTTCTGAAGAAAATTTCCTTTGTTTTATTCCTCGTAGTTGGTTTGGAGCTTTTATATTCTTACATCATAATAATGGGGCACTGGAAGAAAAGAAGGCATCCCTGGGTGGCGCAAATAGTTAAGCACTCAACTACTAACCAAAAGGTTGGTCGTTTGAACCCATCCAGAGGCACCTCAAAAGAAAGATCTGGTGATCTGCTTCCAAAAGGTCACAGCATCAAAAAGCCTATGGAGTAGTTCTACTCCGCACACATGGGGTCACTGTGAGTTGGAATCGACTTAGCAGCAACTGGCTTGGGTTTCTTTTTTTTTGGCAGGGTGGAGTTTAGGAGAAGGGATAGCTTCTGTCATGACGCTGGCTGTGGACATGGAGGTTAGAATGAGAACTCTGTGCACAGTCACGAGACAGGGGCGTCTTTATCAGATGTTCCCTGGAAACTCAGGTCAATAGAAATGAACATCCTCTCCTTACTCCTCTCACACTCCCCAGGAGTCCAGAGCCTGGGGAAACCTTACAGTTAGTTCATTCTTTGTCTCCCGGGCTTTGAGTTAGATGTGACATTTTAGACTCGCTCTGTCTTTGGCTCTATGACCAAGGCCTCTTTTTAAGGAAACTGGTAACAAAAGAGAACATGCATAAGATGTGGTAGGAAATCCATATCTAAGGATTAATAAAGGCTGGCCATGTTTGGCCTTGACTGAAAGCAAAGTTTTCTCTGAGACTGATTTATATTTAGCTTCCTTCTGTTCTTTACAATTGGTAAAGCCAGCTACAGCAACACTTCTTTTGAAGTATTAGAAGGCCACAAGGAGAAGTGAAAAAGAGCACAGGATTTAAAGCAAGAAGAACCTAGCTCAAGCCAGCCACTTATGGGGCTGTGTGCCCTTGGGCAAGTTCTTTTATCCTCTCTAAGCTTCAGTCCTTTTATCTGTAAAATGGGGATAAAAATATCTAGCTCTTATCAAGAGTCTTTGTAAAGTCTAAGGTTTTATGTAAATGTTAGTTCTTATTTTGAACTCATTGAGCAAGGATGTAAGAAGGTCCTCAAATAGTAGGTGATACAGAGAAGAAAATGTCATTAATCAGAGTTTCAAGATGTGGATCATGTTCTCTGTTGTGATGTTGATTCTGTGGGTCTTCCATCAGCTGTCTTCGTCCCTTTTTACAGAAACATAAAGGGTAAAGGAGGTACCACACTAACATTTTAGCAAATGCAGGAATCACTGCCCTCTCCAGCATTCCTGGCAGGGGTCAGTCACCCAGTTTGGCTGGAACATTCCCACTGAGCATGCTGCCCCACATGGCATTCCATTCTGCTAGAAAAGTCTGTGCTGATGAAATGTGGACAGATAATGCTGGAAAGATAAACGAGTAACATTTGTGAAATTATTTGAACTCTTCAAAAGAAAAGACCCACACTGATTCCAGGGATTTTTGTTAAGATAATCAGAATTTTAAACCTGATATTTTGGTTGATTATCTGTTCTGACATTTTTGTTTCTTGGCCTTGGAGGGGGCTAAGAGAAAGGGTCCACTGACTTCATTTTTTTTTAATTAATAAAAATTAGTAAAGTGCAGGACACAGGTCAGTGTCCAAATGTGGCAACCCATCAGCCATCACTAAATGGTACCATCACCCTCCCCACAAGCATCCCCAGTCTCCACTCCGGTGGGTCGCAGGTCAGCCTCTGCAAAGCTCGGCACTCTGCACCCCCATCCAAACCTTGGCCATCTGCCCCTAAAATAAGGCTGTCACCCAACTATGTATTTGGTGCTGTGCAAACCACCAAGGATACAAGAATGAATGACCAAAGTACACCAGTTACTGGAATAAAATAACAGCCTTTGTAAGCTGACATCACTCTTAGATATTGCTTCAACATCAAAGGCAGAGCAACTGTTTCCAAAATATGCCTATGAAGGCTTAGAAAGCACTTGGTTATCACGTCACAAGCCCAGAACATGCTTTGAGGAGAGGCAAACTGATCATTTTTGAGTGGACCTAATGGTAGTTATGACTAAATTGATAGGTTGATAAGTCAAAAGAGATGATGGATCACGAGTAGGCCCTTTAGTTTAGTCAGATAACTCAAATACTACATTAAAACCAAAAAGAACCAAACCCATTGCCATCAAGTCTATTCTGACTCATAGCAACACTATAGGACAGAGTAGAACTGCCCCATACAGTTTCCACAGAGCAGCTGGTGGATTTGAACTGCTGACCTTTTGGTTAGCAGCCAAGCTCTTAACCACTGTGCCAAGAGATAATGACAATTATAATTATATCTTCTCTAGGGTTCATAACTTTTCACATTTGAAACTAATTCTGAAAAAAAAAATCATATTTCTACTAACTAAAAATAATACTCCAAAGTTTTAGGGGAAAAGAAGAACAGAAGAAAAGTCTGAGGAAGGGAGCTAGAGAAGGAACACAGTTCTTTAGGATCAGAAACTAACTAGCTAGAGATTGCCTTTGATAAATGGCAAGTTAAAAAAATTATACATCAGTAGAAAATATCCTGCTTACCCACCAAAAGAACTATTACCTCACCGGTACTTCACATCTCTAAAACATGATTTTGAATGTATTCTGAGCATTGTGCAATGTCTATAGATTATTGATTTCAATCAGCCATAAGACTAAAGGGCCAAGGGAAGACTTAAGTCCAGCGTCTTGGTTAGAATAAGATTAAACAGCAGCAACAATATATTTAGATCACAACAATAAAGATTTCAGGCAGTAAGAGAAAGCATATGTGAATTTGCCAGTTTGGAAATAGGGAAATGGAACCTTAAAACATTCAAGTTACTGACCCAAAACTGTGAGAATAGGAAATTAGTTCCAAAAAAACTGATTATATCATTTCAAAGGACCAGAACAGAAAGTCATTATTTTAATTTCATAAATCTTTTTCAATTTTCTCATTCACACTTGGTAGATGAAGCGCTAATGCTTTGGGCACTGGAATCCTTGAAATCTTATAACCATGCCCTCATGGTCAATTTGACAGACTCTACTAAACTGGTTTTCAAATGAAGACAAGAACTAAAGGAATTCCTACTCTGTAAAGACAGGATTATTCTGATTTCCTCACCAACCTCACAGTTTTCCAGGAATATGTACAGGAAGTTACAATGCCAAAGTATGAAATAGAGCTAGTTTCATAACCAGGATGAATTATGGCTAATTCTCCCACTGTAAACAATGGGTTGTTCAAATCTGAACTCCCCAGACAGCCAATTCAGGCCTGGCTTTCCAAGTACTTCATTTAAACAGGCAGATATCTGGGGACATTAGAAGGTTTGCGGAGCCTTTTGCCAGGAGGAATAGAGCTAGAGGGTAGTGGGTCTTTGGAGAGACTGATGCTGCTTCAAAGAAAAGAGAAGTTAACACTTGCTACATTTTTTTACTCTGGAATTCAAATGTTCTGCATTTTGAAATAGAATGAATGTTCTCTAACGGTTTAGTTCAAACATTTTTCAGGTTGGAACTACCACCCTTCCTTGGACGTGTTCATTCTTAAGCATTTCCATGCTGGCACTGAATATTGCATTTCTTACACTCTTGCCGAAACTCACATATACCTATCATGACTTACTCCTGGCTTCGTAACCTGTCACATTTCCAGGTAGCTTTCATTTGGTTGTGGCCTTTTTATCCCCACCCTGATTTGTCTGATTTTTGTTTGCTTGCTTGCGTGTAACAGGCAATCTCTCTTGCACAACCATAAAGACGTTCCTGATTCCTACTCTTCTCTCACAAGCTCCAGAGATAAGATATATTCACCAAACTAATCCTTGGACATAATCTAATGCTTAATACGCTGACATTTTACTATGTCAGCAATTGTAGTATCTGGGAAGGTCACATGATCACTATAGCTCCGCTTTTCTAGCCTGAACTAATGTTAATTTTTTTTTCCTTAACAAATCTAAATAAGAATTCTAGGGGAAAAGAGGCCCTAAGTTCTATGTAAATAAAAAGAAAATGAAAGAAAAATGGTCCTATGGCTGAAATAGAATTTAGTGCTAGGGCCCAGACGTCATTGCAACAGTGATTTAAAATAATTTAAGGACCGAATTCTCAAACAATCGGGTGAGAGGAGCGCTAATCAGCCTCATCAGTCCAACGAACAATTAGTAAAAGACCACCAAGTGGAAGCCTTGGGCTGGACCCTGAGCAGTGCCAAGAAACGTCACTGGGAAGTAACTGCTGAGGCAGGGACACAGTGTTGACACTGCACGACACAGTCTGTGTGTGAGGGGGGAGGCTCCACATACAGGCCTCCACTCCTTGGGGAGGGCATTAGGGAAGACATCCTTTCACGAGAGTTACCTGAATCATAAGACTAACCTAGCTGGGAAAATTGGAATTCTCTTGCACACACTGAGTGAGCAGTCAGAGGGACCAAGTTTACCCCACTGTGGTGGCTGAAGAAGTTTGTGACTTATTGTAAATTGTGACTTAAATGTCTTCAATGTCTTAAAAATAACATTGTGCTTAAGGGTCTTCAGTGTCTTAAAAATAACGTATGAGATGTTTGTCTGTTTGGTGGTATATGTTTATACTTATTATTCACTTGCTTATTGCTTGTTCTTCTGCAGAACGCCCTGGCTAAAGCCGCTGTGGCAGAACTTGCCACGCTGTACAACACCAAGTATACATATGGCCCCGGAGCTACAGCAATCTGTGAGTCTTGGCTTCAGAACTGTGCAAAGAAACCACAGGCCTAAGATGCCGACAGACGGTCGCCAGAGCCTCTCCTTTCTGATTGTCTAAACTCCCTTTCGAAATGGTTGCAGTGTGGCTTCTGCCAGTCTATAAATTTTTATGTAATGTGTAATCAGAATTCTATTCAGAAAAGGGGAAAAAATATTCCTATCAACCACGGAGACATTTGCTGTTTGTAAGCCCTGGTGGCGCAGTGGTTAAGAGCTCAGCTGCTAACCAAAAGGTCACAGCAGTTCAAGTCCACTAGCTGCTCCTTGGAAATCCTATGGGCAGTTCTACTCTGTCCTATAGGGTCACTATGAGTCGGAATCGACTCAATGGCAATGAGTTTAAGCATTTATCAAGCATGTACTGCATGGCAAGCCCTCACTGGGTGCAAGAGGAGAAAGGAAGGAAGGATGGAAGACAAGCAAGAAATAAGGAGGGAGAGAGGGAGACCAGCACAGTCTTCAAAAGACTCCACAGTAGGGAAGCAGTAGGAAAGCAGGAAAAGTAAACTGTCAACTGGAATACAGGGCACTAAGTACTGTAACAAAAAGATGGACAAGGAAAGAGGACGCCCAAGAGCCATCCAGCCCAGTCCAGGAGTACCAAGGATAACTTCCCGGGAGTAACAACACAGAGCTTTATCTTCTAGGACAATTGCAGGAAGAAAGCATACAGGGAGGATTTTTCTGGCTAGACAGACAGCAGGTACAAGGGCTACTTGAGGAGTATGCCACCTCTGAGGGATAGACTCAGTCCCTCTGATCACTCACTCACTGTGTGCAAGGAAATGGCAAGAGACACCCAACAAGAGAGTTAGGAAGGGGCTAGACCCCAGAGCCTTGATGCTGCAGAGTTCAGATTGCATTGGGAAGGCACCTCCCATGTGTCCTGTTTTCAGTTTCGACTTGTATTTTCTTTGGCTTCACACAATTTCTTTCCATCCCAGATCTGAAAGGAATAGAAGTATACACAAGAAAAAAGTCCCGGTCCTGTGATCATGTACCCTCCAGGGCGTTTAGAGAGCCTCCAATCCTGAGGAATTTTTTTTTTTTTTAAGCTTTAATTTTCTGTATTCCTGTCATTTTTTTAAACTGCTGTGACTCGGAAGGGGTAGACTGTCTTCTGAAGGGTGTTGTAGCAGAAATAACACACCTATTTATATATAGAAAACTTCCCGTATGTCATATTCAGGCTAGTTCAATGAGGTTTCTTATTCTATTATACTGTAAGGCCTCGGAGGGCTGGGGCTACGTGTTTTTCCTGGCATCTCCAGAGTTGAGCTTATGATTTGCTGCTCAGTGGGGGCTATACAATTGTTAACGGAATGAATGAATGCTTAATCTAGGTGGAGTGATACCATAACTCTTACTGAAGATTTAAAAATGAATGAATGCCTAGACTATTCCAGGTCCTATGCTATACAAACACGAACGTACAGCCTGCCCTCAAGCTCCCCCAACTTCATCACTGAGCAGTTTCTGAAGGTTTGGAATCCTCTCCTCTCACCTATTCAGCAAACAGCCTTCCTTATTTTCCTAGGAGATAAGGAATTAAATTTTCCAGAATTTTTTCCAGAAATTCAGTTTTATAAATAAATTACATACAATACCATTTACCATAGCCTACATGTACACTGAGAATTTTACATCATAAATTATATATTTTCTGAGATATTAAACACATCTTTCCCACAAAGTAGGCTTAGAGGTAAGATGAGGCTATTTTTTTTTTAACTGTCCCTACATCCTTTATGATCCTGTTAACTAGAAAATGGGCCAACCTATAATATTTTGCAGTCGAGCCCTAGTGGCACGGTGTTTAAGAGCTTGGCTGCTAACCAAAAGGTCAGCAGTTCGAATCCACCAGCTGCTCCTTGGAAACCTTATGGGGCAGTTCTACTCTGTCCTATAGGGTTGCTATGAGTCAGAATTGACTCAACAGCAATGGGTTTGGGCTTGGTTTTATAATATTTTGCACAGTGAAATCTTAGCAGTTATAAAAAGGATGCTAGCATTTTTTAAATCTACTTTCTAGATTCAAACTTTTTTTTCCCCCCTGCTTGTTTCCACATACCAGATCCTGCTGCAGGGGGCTCTGATGACTGGGCTTTTGACCAAGGAATCAAATATTCCTTCACCTTTGAACTCCGGGATACAGGCAGATACGGCTTTGCGCTCCCAGAGTCCCAGATCCAGCCAACCTGTAAGGAAACGTTGCTGGCCGTCAAGTACATTGCCAACTACATCCTGAAACATCTGTACTAGTCCAGAGCGCGAGAGGCCAATGACAGCCTTATTTCAAAATGCTCGATCTTCATTCTTTTTCTATCCTGAATTCTTATTTTTGTTTGCACGAATGTTTTCCAGACCCCAATCTTTCTTTAAAGCTTCTGGATCTATTAAACTACTTGGATCTTTTAATATTGAGCATAATAAAAATGAGTCATTATACTTGGAAAACCTGAAGATTGTCTAACCTGGGACTTGGGGGAATGGTGTGGACAAATGAAGAAGTAGGCATGTACTAGGCGATGATGTGATTGGCTGCAGAGGCGCTAAGGTTGGCCAATACCAACTGACAGCAGAGATACACAGATTAGAATGGGAGGCTTATGAGTAAGACAAAATATAAGGGAAAATTTAAATTTGTAAAATGCACCCCATCTTTGAGTATCTTTCATCTCAGCTCACTCAAGTTATCTTAAGAGGTGTCTTCTGCATGCCAAGCACTTTGCTAAGCGACTGAGGACAGAGCAATGATAACATTTCTGCCCTCAATGGGCGTATAAGCCATTGGAGAAGACAGACATTAAACAAATAATTAATGATTTAATTAAGAATATGCTAATTAATGGAGCCCTGGTGGCACAGTGGTTAAGAGCTCAGCTGCTAACCAAAAAGTCAGTCCTATAGGGTCGCTATGAGTTGGAATTGACTCGATAGCAATGGGTTTGGTTTGGGTTTTGGGAGCAGCTGGTGGATTCGAACTGCCGACCTTTTGATTAGCAGCCGTAGCTTTCAACCACTGGGTGACAAAGTCCCCAGTAATTAATAATTTAACTTACATTATGAAGTAATTAATTAATAATTTAACTTAAACATTAAGCCAATTGGAAACCCTGGTGGCTTAGTGGTTAAGAGCTCAGCTGCTAACCAAAAGGTCGGCAGTTTGAATCCATCAGCTGCTCCTTGGAAACCCTATGGGACAGTTCTACTCTGTCCTGTAGGGTTGCTATGAGTCAGAATCAACTCGACGGCCCCTAACAACAACAATAACAAGACAAACATTTGACTGACGTTAACTGCTGTTAGGTAAGAACCACACCTAACTGTTCTGACTTACATACAAATTTCACTTAAAGACAGATTTAGGGACAAAACTCCTTCATAACCTAGGGGCTGCCTGTAATGGTTTGAAAGTTGTCAAGCCAAAGAATGATTAATTACGTTAATTGTCCGCTAGATGGTAGCAGTGTAACTGCTACAACTTGTCAAGCAATCATCTTCAAAATAATTTAGTAATATATCACTTAAAGAGACACAGAAAGAGAGACCATCAAGTACAAAAAAAAAAAAAGAAGAAGAAGACTCTATGAAGTCTTTGGCAGTATTGACGTATAATAAACAATAGATGTAAATCAGCTAAATTATCTTTCCCCCCATTCTGTTGACTTTATATCTGTGATGTGAACTGGAAGGCTAACTCACCCATAGTTACCTGAATGAAGTTATCCTGCTGGAGGTATATCTTTCCATTCCATTGCATTCCCCTGCCTCTGGGGGATAACATCAACCCCTAAGCAGAGATGTCATGTGGGTGGACCACAAAGAACCCTTTAAAGTCCTAAGTTGAGTGCTTTAAAATCAAAATTAGGAATATACATAGGCTTTTCTAAAATACCAAGGAATATTTAAGGATAAGACTAAAGCCTAGGAAATCAAATACGCAAATTTTCTCATTTAAAACCACGTGTATCCAAGATATCCTGCACGTGAAGCATTTTTATTATAACTTCTACTGTGACAGTTAATAGCTAGCTTGCTGGGGAGAGCCACTTGTCTGAGCTAACTTGAGGGGAGAAAAAGAGCAAAAGTCTGCCTTAGTCCTTGCCTCTGCAACAGTGCCTGGCACCCTCCTGCCTGGCTGACCAGAGACTGCTGAGGGTCCCTGCCCAGCCTCGCCCAGCCTTGCCCACGCAGAAGCCCCGGCTCCTCTTCTCCTCCCCCACCAGCCACCCGCCGCGCTCCTGACCTCACTCCCACCCTGAGAGCCCAGGACAGGCTCTGAGACCTTCTTCCAGGTCCAACCTCTCATCTCCCCAAAGCGACAATTAACCAACAGCACACGGTTGGCCCCTGAGTCCTTCCTTTCTCAAACGGTGTGTCTAGAAAACAGCAGGACTGGTTTTTCAGTCTGGACTATGGAATTCTTCTTACATATCTAGAATCCCATCCCCTGTGTTCATCTGCTTTGGCCAGCTCACTAAAACACATTGGTCAGAGAGAGACTTCAGGCCTAGAAAAAGGGAAGGGGGAAACATGGCAAGTAATGTCGGGGTCAGATAGGGTCTTGATGTGCTTCTTAGGTGAACAGGGAGTCACTCGTTTTCTTCCCCGGCCTGACACAGCCTGGGTCACACACCCACTTATTTGTCCAGAAATACCACATTTGCCGCAGCTAATTAAGACAAGTCTCTCTGCAACATTTTGCAGGGCAGTTTGGTTTCAATGCTAAGAATCCCACAGCCACAACTAAGGGTGACAAATTTTTCTTGCAGTATATCCTTTATGAGATATCTACAAGTATTCCAGGAATAACCATTGGATTGGATTGGAAGGCGGAGAATTATCTGAAAGATTCTAGTAGATCACAAGAAAACTTCCATTTTCTAGGACATTTCTTTTGTTGCGAGAATGTTTGAAAAATAATAAAAAAGCATCGCTAAAAAAATAAAATGATATTTTTACACTATTGCTAGACATGGACTACTACAAAAATCCTAGGATTGCAAAGCTCCAAAAAAGATGGAAAACTGTTGCCGTGTGATGCATTAAATTTTAAACTTCTTTTTAAAGAGATTAATTTAACCTATGAAACATCACAGTCTTACATAGTCAATTCTAAAATGATATGGTGTCTAACAACCATTCATCCTACTCCACACACATGCCAAGACCCTGTATAAACCTTGATGCAGTAATACAAGGTTGCACTGAAGTATGTCTGCCAAGAAATAGCACCCGTTCTGAGGAAAAGCTCCAGAACATTCTTGAAATCCATCTATTGTACTTTTCTTCAGAGGCTGGATGGATTGGGGAGGAGGAGTGGGAGGGTCTCAATGCATCCCATGTGGATGTCCTATTCCAGAAAGAAGGAACTGTTAGCATGCAACAGATACTAAGAAGATGAGGAAAGACTTTTATTTACCATCAGAGACTTGACCTGAGAGATACCAGGGTCCTCAAACATTTACCTAGATCCCCAAGTAAAACAGAAATGAATGTGTGCTTCCTACTTGCCCTATAAAAGCCTTCTCACAGTTTTAAAACCAGTCACACAGAAAAAGGCTTTAAGGTTGACAAAGCAATGTTATAACATTAAAAATTTTTTTTTTACTGATATAGTCCACATTAAAACAAATACAGAGAGAGGTTTTGCCACTAAAAGTCACAACCACCACTGTAATCTACCACATGATATGTGTGGATACTCATCAGTTCTGCTGTCTGGCAATTGCCAACTGTAAGTTTCTGTTTATAGAACCAGACAATTTTATCAACAGCCTAGACGGCAGGGGCTTTTTTTTTTTTTTTTTTCTTTTGAAGTAATACCATGTGCAAAGTCACTTAGACAGGTTATCTCATTTAACCCTCACAGTCGCTTGTTAGAGTCACATTGCTGTTATGTTGTTGTTGGTTGTCTTCAGTTGATTTCAGCTCATAGCGACCCCATGGGACAGAACAGAACTGCCCCATTGGGCTTTCCAGGCTGCAGTTTCCATGGGAGCAGATTGCCAGGTCTTTCTTCCATGGAGTGGCTGGTGGGTTTGAACTGCCAACCTTTTGGTTAGCAGCTGAGCACTAAACCATTGCGCCAGTAGGGTTCCTTAAGAGTCACTTTAGCATCCCCATATTACAGATGAAGAAACCAAGGCCCACAGTGACTAAGCAGTCTGCTCAAGGTAACGTAGCTAGTGTTTGGGAGACAATCTGTGCTTGAAAAAAAAACAAACCTGTTGCCGTCAAGTTGATTCCGACTCATAGTGACCCTAAACGACAGGGTAGAACTGCCCCACAGGGTTTCCAAGGAGTGGCTGGTGGATTCGAACTGCTGACCTTTTGGTTAGCAGCCAAACACTTAACCACTGAGCCACCAGGGCTAATTCCAAACTCAAACTCTTTCTCATTGTGACATGATCTTGTTGTTGTTCAGTGTGGTTGAGTCAGTTCCGACTCATAGCCACCCTGTGTACAACAGAACGAAACACTGCCCAGTCCTGAGCCATCCTCACAATCCTTGCTATGTTTGAGCCCATTGTTGCAGCCACTGTGTCAATCCAACTTGTCGAGAGTCTTTCTCTTTTTTGATACCCTCTCCCTTACAAAGCACGATGTCCTTCTCCAGGGACTGGTCCCTCCTGATAGCATGTCCAAAGTATATAATACAAAGTCTCGCCATCTTTGCTTCTGAAGGTCATTCTGGCTGTGCTTCTTTAAAGATAGATTTGTTTGTTCTTCTGACAGTCCATGGTATGTTCAATATTATTCACCCACACCATAATTCCAAGGTATCAATTCTTTGGTCTTCCTTATTCATTGTCCAGCTTTCCAATGCATATGAGGTAACTGAAAATACCACGCCTTGCACACCTTTGTCCTCAAAGGGACATCTTTGCTTTGTAATAATTTAAAGAGACCTTTTGCAGCAGATTTGCCCAATGCAATATATCGTTTGATTTCTTGACTGCTGCTTCCATGGGCATTGACTGTGGATCCAAGTAAAATGAAATCCTTAACAACTTCAGTATTTTCTCTGTTTATCATGATGTTGCTTATTGGTCTAGTTGTGGGGATTATTGTTTTCTTTAGGTTGAAATGTAATCCATACTGAAGGCTGTAGTCTTTGATCTTCATCAGTAAGTGCTTCAAGTCCTCTTCACTTTCAGCCACAGGGATGGACTACTCAATAAGCAAGGTAAGCATGTGTCATGGATTGAATTGTGTCCCCCAAAAATATCTGTCGACTTGGCTAGGCCATGATTCCC